TGAAATCATTCGCTTTTCACACTATCATTCAATATTTTCTTCTCATCATGGTACTCTCTGCCAACTTCCTTGATGGATCCAATCCCTAATATTCAGCAGGTAACCGAAGAGCAACTATTTACTATACCAGCTACAGACAAATATGTAACTATTTAGGATTAAAAAAAAAGGTAATTTTCACCTTAGGTGATGTGGATGACCACTGCATTGAAATAGGAGCAATTGTTTATGTAACTGCATGTCACTTAGCACTTAAATGTGTTGAGAGATGCTAGAGCCATTTAAAGCTCTTTCTTTTTACTAAACTCCATTTTAACTAAAAATACTTATTATGGGGACAGCCTCTCCATATGAATATTGTGACTTTTAAATGCTCTCTGTATTTAGAGTTTCTGGGAAACATATGCTGTTTATGTACTGCCTGTATATGCAGAAAGAAATAGAGCAGATGTGAAGTTAGAGCTGCCCACCAGCAAAAGAGTACTTGGTGGGGAAAAAAGGCTTTGCTGTGATACCTTTAGTATCACTCAGATTTCTAGAGATTTCTGTTTGCAAATGGTTTCATGGCCTGTTCTGTGGAAGTTAAGTAAATTCCCAGCCACAGACGGAACTTTACAGGCAGAGATCCCCAGGGGGGACCCATTGCAGAGAATTCCTTCTTGTGACATTCCACTCATTGGGCTGAATTTATCCTTGAAGTAACTGTATTGATGTTGTTAGTATTACATGAGGGATCAATTTCCCTTACCTCATTTGTTTCATTTTTAAAGCCAAAGAGGCCAGACTAGCCATTCTGAAAGAATAAACTACCTTATTTCCATTTCCGCCTGCAAAGCTACAGCAATTAAGCCAGCAAAGAACCTGTCCCACTATCCCTAATACTGGGTTAGATCTTACACTCAATGCGGGGTAATTTTCTAGTGAAGGATGTTGACACCAAAATAGTCACAATCAGTTCAAAGCTGGATTCAGACTACCTTGGGTTGGGGCACTGGGTGTTGAAGGTATAGAAAATCCTCTCCAGCTCAAGGATATTAACAGTGGTTGAGTAAGAGAGGCCTGTACAAGTGATGGCCTGTGCATTGCCCACAGCACTTCAGATGCATCATTTCTAGGCAGGTTAATAACGATCAATAGTATCACTCCTCACAGATAGCAGGTAGCTCTTTAAGCCTGTGTTAGAGGCTAGGTTTGAGGCATGGAGTACATAATACTGCCCTGAAAGTCCTGAGAGCTATTATTTCTGAGTTAGCCAGGGACTGTGGTACAGCAAATCCAGAAGCTGTCCCTCCTGTGATATATATTCCCTCTCCTTTCCATCAAGTGCAGCCAACCTTCATGCCCACAGAACTGCTTTTGCAAAGCAGTGCAAAGGTCCACAGCTTCCATGCTTCATTTTACACTGGCCACATGATTTATAAGTAGAAATCTTATAAAAACAGAATTTCAGCTGCATTTCCTTCACTGACAATGTTTGGCAAACATGTTATAAATCATAATGCTAGTACCAAAACCCTGCCAAAATCAAAACAGATTTTATCAAGCTTTTATAGCCTCCAAAAGCAAGTCCGCAGAGCTTGTTCTAATTTATTATTGTCTATTAGAAAATGTCATTGAATGAACGGTATTTGCTACAACGTCAAGCACACAAAACATCTGCAACACTTGCAAATAAATTACATCTTCTGATGATCTAAAAATACATATCTCTTATTGTATCATGAGAAGAATGGGGAAAGTAACCTGATTACAAAACCACCACAAATCCAGTGCACCATGTAATTGGTCTCATTTTATGCATTGACTTTCTTCACATCTGTGCAAATAAAGCCATTGTTACAGTGCTGTGGCATATAATACATGCAGCTACAAAAACGTGAGTGCTGCTGTGTGTTGAGTCTTTGAATGGAAGTGGCACATCTGCTTTTGGCATAGGAGTGTAAATCAATCCAAGATGTTTATTAAAGAGTAAGTAATGACCTGTCCACACACTCTTTCCTCCATCCAGCCTTGGTTTTGTTCTTGCTTTGTTATATTCCTGGCAGTAAAACATGGGCTCTGCACATTGAAAATATCTGTTGTTTCTTCATGTATGGATAACATAACGTGTCACGTAATATTTAATGAGTATGTGATGGGGAATAGTTTGGGCAAAAATGCAAGTCAAAATGAGGTGGGGAAGAAAGAGTAAGTACAAACAGCTACAGCACACTGACTGAAAGGTTTATTACTCCGGATAAGGCAACTACGTTCCCTATGCTTTTTGAATTACGGATAAGACCTAGATTTGAATTCATGTTCTAGTTCTTGACAATTAATGAGCAAAATTTGCAATAGTAAAAGATGGTGGATATTTTTTTAAAGAATGGAGTAGTCAATAATGCTTGACTTTGCATTTACTGAAGGTATTTATACCTTCCACAACTGGGTGAAGGTATAAATGTTCCTACCTGAGCAGAACAGGTAGGAACATAAGCCTTTCAGTTCTTGCCTAGGTTGAGCAGCAGGAAAAGTCAACACAATATTGGCACTGGCCAACATCGGCACTGCAGGTTGGCCCTTTTTTTGGAGCAATTGCTGATATGTTTGGCACAACCTGTAATATGTTCCTTTCCCACTGACTGAGGAGCTCTAGAGTCTGCTGTGGAACAGCAGTCCAAGGACAACAATACCATTTGTGGGCAGCCTCTTCACGGGCTACTTGCATGAAGCAGCACTTAAATATCTGGACCTCTGGAAGAAGGCAGTGGCTCTAGGTCTGACAATAGAACCTGGGACACACAGTGCTCCTTCCTCTTCCATCAAAAGATGCACAAGAAAGGGTCCTAGAAGGAACCCCCCAGAAGTAGGCAGCAGGAGCAACCCATTCTGTTTCCCAGTGAAGGGCCCACTTTTGAGTAACCAGAGGTAAAAAGAAAATACCATGGATGATGTCTTCTTGGCTTCCAGATAGCGAGGTGATAAGAAAGTGATGCTATTCTTCAAATGCATTTCGGAAGCAAGATGTGTCCTCTCAGACACTTAAGGGCTTATCCATTGGAAAGACAATATCTCTTTTATATGATGACAACGGAAAACCACCATTTTAAGAGATGAGGTTGCAAAACATACTGGTTGAAGAGAGATGGTTCAGGCAGGCTCATTGTGCAGGAGAGGGAATAGAGGCTGCTGGAAGTGTGCCACCCAGTGTTTTATACTTGCACATTTAATTGACTCCACTGACCAAACATCTTCTGTAATTATCATCTTTTTTGTTAAAATGGTCAGGACATATTAAAAGGCTGGATTCCGTGTGCATATGTTTCATTGATAATGCTGCCTATCAGCTCTGTCCCAAAAGTGTCTAAGATTGCTGTAAATTTGTTAATTGGGTCTCTTTTCATTTGTAGCTGAAACTTAGCTGCATGAGTGACCTAGGTGAATTTAACAAGACAGCATTTTTACAGCAATTACTAGTGCAGGCTAGAATTATCTTGATCAGAGTTGTTACAGCATCTGGTTAAGATATTTTACCCAGGATAAAATATTAATTGAAGTAAATCAAAATACCTGGGTAGCCCAAAAAAATTAAAAAAGAAAAAAAAAGCCAATAATGCTTTCTCCCATTTATTCCACACAGTCTTCAGTTTCTCCTTTCAATTTAATTTTATTTTTATTTTATTCGGTATGCCTGATAATGGGACTCTGTGGAACTAAACCTTTAGCAAGTTGCTGGTGCCAGCTTTTCGCAGAGTGCCCTGGACAGGTCTCTTCATTTCCATTTCGTTTTGTCTTTCTGGCTGACACGTACTGTTATTTAAATGAATGCTTTTGAACTCAGATTTTTTTTAATGCAAATGTGTGCTGCTTCCCTATTGAATTGAAACCATCAATACTTATTTTTCTCTATGAAAAACAGGCTAAAGAGTAATATTCTCAGGGCTGAAGGTGGGTTGGGATGTTGCTTTTCCATGAATTAAAGCTAAAAAAAGGAGACACATAAAATGGTGAAGTATCAAAATATTGTTTCAATCTTCCTTCTACCCAAGATATGATTAAAGCAGTGTTGTATCTTTTAAAGAACAGCTGAGGAAGGGAAGGTGCCAAGACACAGCAGACTGGTCACACTACCTCAAGGCATTCTGTAGGGGAGTACACACAGAAGTGTGAGACACTACATCCCTTCAGCAATCTTAAGGTTATGAGTTTTGAAGGTTATGACTCATTTTAATTTGAAAATAGGTGTCCTCTCATTTTTAACTTTTTGGAAGCTGTCTACCAGGAACCATAGGCTAAACTTACAGAACATCTTAGAGGGAAGTAAGTAACAGGGAAGAAAGTAAAAAAGAACAGATCCTTGGTTGCCTTTAGAGTATACTGCATTCTTATCTTCAGATTTTTCTTTTGGCTATAATGTCTAGAAATGTACTTTTAAATAAACATGTGAATGTGAAAGTTCTCCAGTAATCACATGCCTCCTGAAGCTGGAGCTTTCTGCTCACCAAAACAAGATATGCAAAACACCACATGCCATGCTCCAGCATCAAAAGGGTGGGTAACACCTGAGTTACCTCCATCCCTAATCTCTGCCAGACCAAGAGATGTGTGATGCTGAAGCATGTGGACTTTTTCACCCCTTCTCCCATTGGACAAGCATCCATCTCACAGCAAAAAAAGCCACAGTCCATGCCCAGTAGCACCACTGCCAGCAATATTAGCAAACAGACCTCAGAGGCTGAGCTCCCCTTTCAATCACAGAAGTTGTTGCTTTCTCTCACTGTCAGTGGTTGTTGTTCCAGCCCAGGCTTTCTACACATTTCTGGACTAACGAAAACTTAAAGTGCTGCTTGCCCTGCAATACCAAATTTATGGATGAGGAGACAACTTCAGCCTGCCAGGTGATAATTTGGCACCCTTATGTCAGTTTTAAAATCCCTACAGCTGTAAATATTTATTGGATATGAAATATACTCTAGATAACACATTATCATATGAATAAATATAACCTTAAATAAAACATGTGCACTCCATCTTTTATTCAGTTTATAAAATTCTTGCTTCTCGCTCCAAGCATTCTCAGTCTAATACAGCTACTCAGAAGCACAGCAATCGATGGTGTGCCCTGATTTCTTTTCTAATACAATGTTTTTTTTCTTGTATTTCACCTCTTACGGCTTTTGCAAAGTTTTGATTTGATAGGACAAGCACAGCGAGGGCATTAGGACCAAGAGAAAGACACACACATTGCTCTGTATTATGTCTGGCAAAGTGCTTCCTGACTGAGTGCCGTAGTTATGTGTGAAACAAAGTCACGGACCGACTAGTTCTCATCTGTTGATCGCAGTTAAGTTAAAGCCTCTGAACGGAGGAGAGCTGTCAGATCTGCTTTCAGAGACACAGTGCTTCAATCCAGGCAGCAATTGGAAACTTTGAAGAAGCAGGATCTATCTGGAAGGAAACTATAAGAAACGGGATTTCTTTTGACTTAGAATTTTAAAAGGGAAAAAAATCAAAGCTTTAGTTACTCTTTTAATCAGCAAAATATGTGCTTTCCTAACTAAGCTGGGACTCTGTTCAATAAAGGATCTACTTTATTTCACTGGATCCATGCTACGTTTTACTACAGTAAGTAAAATATTAATAGGAATGTTATTTTTTTTCTGTAAATAGAGAGGAAAGCATGAAACAGCATCAGTGAAATGTGAGGGGAGCAAAAAAATCCTCTTGGCAGATAGTGAAAAACAGGGCTTTTGTGCAACCCGAGGACTGGAATCTGAGGAAGATCGAAGTGATATTTAACATGACCATCTGTATTGTTTTGTCACCAACAGCATGTTCTTGAGGAAGAAGTGCAGATATGGATCACGTAAGCTGCAGTTTTTCTTGTTGTTTCTGATGCTGGGTTTTTTGCTACTGATGGTTACAATGCTGAATCCACCACCCAGCAACCAGAGCAAGGAAGGGACTTTCCAGCCTGTGGAGTTCAACCCCCGGGAAGGGTATCAGATGGACTTTGCGGAGACCCAAGAGATGCTGGAGACCCAGGAGGAGAGCCAGCAGTATTACCCTTTGGATGGTCTATCGCCTTTCATCTCCCTGCGGGAGGATGAACTGATCGTGGCCGTCGTGTCGCCCACGGGCAAAAAGAACCACAGCAAGACCAGGAAGGGCTATCGCATGGTGAAGCAGCAGAGCAGGCGGGCAGAGGGGAAGGCGGAGGGGGACCCTGAGTCCCTGCCGCTGTCCCTACCCCTGCAGGCTGGGGAAGGGGCTGCTCCGGGGGAGCGGCCGCTCGGCCTGGAGACCCACGGCTTTAACGAAGCGCTCAGCGAGCGGATCGCGCTGCGCAGGGACCTGCCTGAGGTACGACACCCGTTGTAAGTAAAATACCCTATTCGCTTCTGGGGGAAAACCTATCTCGTTCCGCGCCGCCGCGCCCACCCCCCCCCCGCACCTCTCCGCCTCCAAACCCCGCGTTCTTTCCTATCAAACTCGCCGCTCCGGGTCGGGAGAGCGCTTTTCCCCGCGCTGTGTGGGGAGCACCCCCCGTTCCTCAGAGGCAGGGGCGCTCCCACCCTCGCTCCGGAGGTGGTTCAAGCCCTCAGGAACCGACGGGCGGCAAAGGTGGAGGGGGGCGCGGGGTTGGGGGGCACAGCTACGGCTTCCTGAGTCAGAAAGAAAACCACAGCCCAGCGTACCCACCCCAGCAGAGCCGACCGCTGCTGCCGTGTGCGCGGCTGCGCCGCCTCTCCCCGACCCGCCCCGGCCCGGCCCCGCGCCGCCCTGAGGGCGAGCGGGCGGCAGCGCCCCCTGCGGGCGGCGGAGGGAGAGGTCCGAGCGGATGTCTGTCCGTCCGTCTGTCCGTCCGTCTGTCCGTCTGCTGGGGCTGGAAAGGGAATCCGCGCCGGGATGTCGAGCGGGAAAGGCAGCTGCCCTCCTCGGCCAGGCCCCGGGCTCAGCCCACGTGCCGGGGCTGTGATGGGCTACGGGCTCGTAAAGCGATAAAGCAGTCGGGAGTTGGGGCTTTCAAGTCTTTTAGAATAAAAGTGACCCAATGGTCACATATCAAAATGGACCCGACCCTGAGCTGGTGCGGCCTCACTTTGAATACTGTGTGCAGTTTTGCGCACCACAACATAAAAAAGATATCGAGGTATTAGAGAGTGTCCAAAGGAGAGCAATGAAGATGGTGAAGGGTCTAGGGTAGAAGCTGTATGAGGAGCAGCTGAGGTCATTTGGTCTGTTCAGCCTGGAGAAGAGGAGACTGAGGGACCTCACTGCAGTAACAACTTCCTTGTGAGAGGAAGAGGAGGGACAGGCACTGATCTCTTCTTTTCTGTGGTGATCAGTGACAGGAGCCAAGGGAATAGCCTGAAGTTGAGTCAGGGTAAGTTTAGGTTGGATATTAGGAAAAGGTTCTTCACCCAGAGGGTGGTTGGGCACTGGAACAGGCTTCCCAGGGAAGTGGTCACAGAACAAAGCCAACAGAGTTCAAGAAGTGTTTGGATGATGCTCTCAGGCACATGATGTGACTCTTGGGGATGGTCCTGTGCAGGCCAGGAATTGGACTCAGTGATCCTTGTGGGTCCCCTCCAACTCAGAATATTCTGTGATTCTCTGACAAACACTGAAAGGAAACTCCTGGAAGGCAGGAAGGTGGAGATTGGTGTGTCTGACCAGAGCTGCCAGCACCACCATAAGTGGCTGTAAGGCCACTGCCTTACATTTGGAGCCTGGATACTTGAAAGTCAGTTGTCCCAGGAGCCCAGGAGGGGCAGCTGATCACACTTCTTAAAAAGGATCTGAGGTGTATCTACTATCAAGCTGCCCCAGGGGAGGTTCAGGATATTAGGAGGAATTTCTTCACAGAAAGGGTGATTAGACATTGGAATGAGCTGCTCAGGGAGGTGGTGGAGTCACTGTCCCTGGAGGTGTTTAAGACTGGACGTGTCACTCAGTGCCATGGTCTCACTGACAAGGTGGGTGATCAGTCAAAGCTTGGACTCAGTGGCCTAAGAGATCTTTTCCAACCTAATTGATTCTGTGATATGCTTCCCTGCCCAAGGAAGAGGGAAAGGATATGGGTGGGTATCTTTATTTCTTGCCTTCTGTAATGAAAACTATTGTAGCTTTCCTCCAGGACATAGTGGAAAGATGCAACAGAAAACATTTTAAGCAAGACACAGAATAATTTTGCTTTCTAGTGTTCATTTTCACATGTTTAAAGGTAGCTGGCAGCTACAATTTAGGGGACAGTCTCAAAGAAAGAGAAATGAAACAGTGTTTTCTGTACTTGGTGACTAGGTTCAGTGTTAATTTCGATGATTCCATTAAATAATGAGATGCTGATATTATTTCAGTTATTTTTTGGCATGCTTCACTGGCAACTCTTTGAACTATGTAATGTTCAAAGGAGGAATGACGACCCTGGTTTACTGCCTGTGATGTGAGCCAAAAAACAATTTTACTTTGGCAGCTGAAGGGCCATCCAACAAGAGACAGGTTTAGTTAATACTAATCTCGGTAAGATTTAAGCCATGGTCTCAGAGCTCTTGGATGGATTTTGCTGTCTGACTGGTTACAGCCTAAAGAGCTCTCAACACCACAGCTCACAGAGCCCTGACTGAAAATTCAGATCTCAACATCTGAAGCTGATCTAAATCCAGACCATAAACCTGCAGCAGAGGTATATCTCTATGCCAGTCCTGTCCTTTACAGCACAGCACACAAACCACAATGGTATTTTTTAGGTGTAGTTTAGTCTGGGGGCCTGGATCACAACTATGTCAGTCCAGTTTTACACCAGTGTTAAAACGAGAGTGAACCAGAATCAGACTGTGTATGTCTCTAATCCATTTGCATAGTGTTGTTCATAACAATGTCTGTTATTATTTAGTTAGAGGGAAGCCAACCAGTTAGAGATGTTTCAGTGAGTTAGTACCATGGACTAAGTCTCTCTCATTTTACTTGAAATTGGATGGGAAATTCTTCACACCAGAAGAGTACTCTGAGGTACTTCCATCCCTTCATACTTTTTGCTGCTATCAGCTGGTCCAGCTGCAATTGCCACCCTCCTGGGACACCACAATCAAGCCTGCCATTGTGACTTTTGTGATGGGTGTTCTAAGAAGGTCTCTTGGGCTTGAGTGTCAAATGTATCCAGGCAAAAGAAACTCACAATGTATCTACAAAGGTTTTAAGTTTCATTACAAAAGTATAGCTTCCACTGGAGTGCTGTTGGGAGCTGAATCTCAATGAGACATTTTCCTGAAGGTGAGTGGGAGTCTATGCCTTTGCCATGTCAGAATTGCTCTCTGTTCATTGCTGCATGTGACAATTCCTTGTTTTTCCCAAATTGGATTAAATCACTATGTCTCATATCAGTCACACTCCTGATTTTTTGAAATGCCAATTTTTGATGGACAGTCTATGAAACTGCTCCAAATTACAGGGAAGGTATTTCTGTATACCAGTACCCTTTTGAATTTTTCTGAAGATTAGATATCTATATTGCAAGTCTTTGCCAATCTCCATGGCAACTAGGCACTTGCCACCAACGGTATGTATTCAAGTGCAGTTATTTTCAATTCTTTTTCCAATTAAGATTTCACAACAGCCTTATTTTCTTGCTATAGCCACACTACTAGCAACAAGATGTTGTAGTGTTACAGTGCAAAATATAGGTGCTAATATCTGTAGAATGTTTCTGATTAGAAGCTGCTTGGTAGTAAAAGGACTGCATCAGCTCTTCACTTTTCTTAATTACCTCTAGATTCTTCTGCTTGAAAATATTCACTGTCAAGTCACGAGAGTATTCTGTTCTCCATCTGCTGAAAATAGAAACAATTATCCCACATGAAATTGTGAGGAAGCAGCATTATTGATTACAGAAAATTAGTAGACCAAGGGCGACATAGATTTATTACAGTGCACAAATCATCAAGAAAATTTGCCTGTCTATGAAAAAATATTAATATGAACTATTAAAAACTATAACAAATTATTACAATTGTGCTCATTTAAAATTTATATTTCCAAAAGTGTATCTATAATATTCATTTATGTGTACTTGTAATTAAATCATTCAGACTATGGATTCTCTTAAACGATTAGCAGCTTTGTGTCTGTATAGTGTCTAGCAACATAGGGCCTCAGTCCATGAATGGAAGTACTAAATAAAATGGTAATAAATGGAAGCACTAAGTAAAATGCTAATAAACATAGCAATATTAAAATTATATCCCTTACATGAGTTTCTCCTAAGTAGCTAATTGTTTAACAACCACTGTAAAACCTGTATAGTGATTTGCTTGGTAATACAAAAAAGCTGAAATAACAATGGGCCACACTCAACCAATTCTGTAATTCCTTGAAGTTCTTGCTGCTGGAGATTAAATGAGTTAGGGCACTGAATGACTGTTACTTGGGAAATGAAAATATTTTAAAATGTGTGTTCTATTGTAAGCAAAGCAGATATATAGACACAGCCTTTGCATTTCTGCAAGGGGCATTGGAAGGCATTTTCTGGAAAATGTACATCTTCGTGCCAGGATAGCGTGTCCTATGTCTCTGAATTAGGACTGGTACATCAGAAAACACTTTGTGTCATGAAGGCAATTTGTAGGTCCTTTGCTTACATTTATGAAACAGCCATTGTTTGGCGAGGGTTTATGGTTTTCACGTGCAGTTTCTGTGAGGATGAACGGAAAGTGTTTTTCATCTTTAAATGCTTGAGTTGTCAAAGTAGCATCTAATTCATGGTAATTTTGATGGAAGTTGTTTCAAAGTCATGGGTGAAATCTTGGCCCTGTGGAAAACTGAGGAGCCATGGGCTCCAGCTGCAGTCTGGATCATCTCTAGGAATGCCATACACTGACCCACATAGCCAGGTGTCTTGCAGTAGGTTGTGTTAGTACCTGGAGTTGTAAAGTAATAGCAGAAAATGGTATAGAGAGAATCTGCCCAGTTGTCAGCCTCATTCATCAGTGACTCATTTTCATTGGAAAAAGCAAAATTTGTAGTGAAAATACATTTACTTTCTTAAATATATCTGTCTTTGTATTCATGGTCCATGTAGGGATCCATTTCTTTCCTGTAGAGGACTGAGATGTTGCGTTTATTCACTAGGATCTTGGTCACATCTACTGCTCAGTTGTTAGTTTTAAAGGTACTGCATTTCAGTTTGCTCTTTTCTCTGTTACTTGAGAAAATGTGGAAATTGGTAGAGACTGACTGACTTGCTTTACCTCCCTCTCTGCTCTGTCTAATTGTCTTTATGGTTTTTCTTTGCTCTCTGGACCATTTCTATTTTGAGCTCTGTTTTTTGAGGTACCCAGAGCAGAAAACAAACTATCCCAGAACACAGGAAAACTTTTCTTTTTGTATTTTAATTTTTATGGTGTCATTCCCATGTTTTCACTTTGTATTCCAGTTTTGGACACATTAATACTTCCTTTTCTTAGAACTAAGCTGAGATCTTAAACTGCTTTCCGTTCCTGAAGGTTTAAGAGTTGCTAACAACTTTGCTCTGAGAAAAAAGTAGCCAGCTGTACCAGCATTTCCAGTGTCTTCCTCATTTGATCCCGCAGGTGCCTACAGCAAAAGTATGACTCCAGTCTGCCTACTGCAAGTGTCATCATCTGTTTCCATGATGAAGCCTGGTCTACTCTGCTGAGAACCGTGCACAGCATTATGGACACAGCCCCAAAGGCCTCCCTCAAGGATATCATCCTCGTTGACGATCTCAGCCAGCAAGGTAGCCCCTATTTCTCTGTGTGTAAAATTGCCCTCTTTTTTCCAAAGCTTCAGGGAAGAAGCTGTCCTCCTCCAAGAAGTGCATGAG